AGACAGCCAACGTGGCTGATCTCAAGGAGTATCACGGACCGCCAGAAGACGAGGAGGACCAAGGCCCGGATGCAAGGATAGCTTAAGAGGCGGTAGACTCTTCAAGTATATTGTTAACTTAACTTGGTATCAGGTTAAACGAAATGCACTCACACTAAGTATCAGGTTAAAAGAAAGGCACTCACACTAGGTATCAGGTTATGAGAACGGCAACCTGATACCTAGTTATCAGGTTAAGTCAAAGACACTCGTAATTATAAGTACATTACACTAATACTACAATAAAATTCCACCCCCCCTCACAACACGAGTCCTCGGCAATCCCGCAACACCCACCGATAAGACGGCAACCGCTGGGCGGCCTGTGTGATGCAAGAGGAGGTATGTGTATACCGAAGCACTATTCTCTAGTATTTGATACACGACTTTTACAAAGATGAGAGTGAACTTAGCTCGTCGCTCTGATCAAGAATATATATACTTTGTGGGGTCTGCCACGCCTCCTTCTGCCTGTTACATACATTTTAACAAAACCATTATACCCTGATTTCCCATTTTCGATGGGTTCAGGGTATAAAAAAAAAAAAAAAACATAGACGTGGAATTTTTTTTTATTTTTTGGTATATTTTTTAATGTCTATTAATTCTGCCCCTTTGGGAGCGCTGGCACTTACGTTAGCTGTCGAAATTTTAAAAATATTTACAAGTATTTACACAATACGATAATGACATAATGATGACAGCTACATGTCAACTTCTGTTGACCATCATACGTGGCGATCGGATAATCAGGTCCCTTAGTTGTCTTTCTTTGAGCCTCCTACGAGTTCGGTATGTGATAAGTACGTTTGCTAGCCTGTTTCTGTGCCGCTCCAATCTGTCATTGTACCGATTCGAGTGCTGGTTTATTGCATTAAAGACAGTGGCGAGTTTCAGGTCTCTGTGCAGTATGGTGTTTCTAACAAACCACAGGCCAGCCCCAAGATTTGGCACCCATATATCCATATTGGCGCAATGATCTGATTGTAAATTGTCACCTTATTAGTGAGTGACAATTTACTCCGCGAGCAGAGAAGCCAATAGTGCCTCTTCACTGCCGCACGTAAGCGTATTGTAATCGCCGTTACGTGCTTGGCAAAGGTGAGCCTGCGATCTAATATCACTCCGAGATATTTGGCATCATTCGCCTGCGGCACTGGATCTCCATCCAGGAGCACGGCTGACGGCGTTCTCCATTGACTGATTTGCTGCTGTTGATGACAATATTCCATCGCCTTGCCCAGTCCACAAATTCTGTTGCATAATCTTGTATAACAGGGTGGTACTCCAGCTGCCACATCATACTCGGTAGATAGCGGCTTATGAAAGCGCACAGCGAATCGCCGTCCCTCAAGATACGACCTGATCAGCATTCCGGCGTGCCACACTCGATCGAACGCCACCCGGATGTCCAGATAGAGTGTGTTGCAGTACTCCTTGTTGTCGTAGGCTGTTAATATTTGGTTGACAACTCTATGAAGCTGCTCCACTGTGCTGTGACCAGCACGGAATAAAAATTGGTGCTTCGGAATAATCCCTTGATAGTCCTAGCCAGCCGGACGGCAATAAGTCCTTCCAGCACCTTCGATATCGAAGGGAGGAGACTTATCGGCCTGAAAGAAGATGGTTCGCTTTCCGGCTTGCCCGGCTTGTGGGTCATGGTGATTAATCCAAGATTCCATTGGGGAGGGAAGTATTGCAGCCTTACTGTTGCATTGAACACCAACGCTATGAAGCAAACCGCATGTCTAGGCAGTGCCTTCAGAGTGGCATTGCAGATGGCGGCGTGTCCCGGCGCTCTATTCGTGTTCAGGCTTGCATTAACTTCAGCTATCTCACTTGGGTCGAATGGATTAATAGGCAGATCCATTTGAAGCGCTTGTGTCAGCTGGTCATCAGTATCCTGGATTTCTTGCAGGCTGGCCAGATTAAATGGCTGGAAGCGCTCGGCAAGATGCCCAGCAAATACCTCTGCTTGCTCCAAGTCTGTCCGGCACCATGTCCCGTTACTGTTAGCCAGAGGCGCTTACCTTGCACAACGCCTTTTAATACCGCGCGTGGCTTTCCAAAGTGAGTGCGTTGCGTCACTTGCAATGCCAGTGTTGACAAGTCTCTCATCAAACCAAGCAGATTTGTGCTCCGCAAGTGCGTCGAGACGAAGCCTACTCCGTGCTCTATTCCACTCGGCTTTGTCCAAGGGGTGACGAGATCTCATCCATCTGACGCGTATGCGCCTCTTTTCGGCAATGAACAGCAGAATTTCCCTGGTCACTGGAATCCTGTCGGCTGCGGGCCTCCGATGCGCTGTGCCAGAGGCCATTCTAGCTGCTGCCTGGATAGAGAAACTGAAAGCGTCGATGGCATCATCAAAATCCTTTCTAGGGCTCATCTCCATATTGAGGTACAGTGTCGACTCGAGGTGCTCGTGGAACCAATCCAGATTAGTACGCCTTGTTATTAGTCGTTCCGCCCTAGGATAGCATATAGCAGACGCATCCAGCGTAATTATGCGGGGTAGATGCTCAGCAATCCCTTGGTCAGAGCAAAATCAATGTAGCCTGGTGAGCCTCTGCTGCCGTACGGATACCTCGTAGGTCCACCTGTTGCCAGAGCGTTAATCTCTGTGCTCAGGACGAGGTTTCCAAGCGCATGACCTCTTTGGTTGCACCTTCCTGCTCCCCAGAATCAATGGGATGCACTCCAGTCACCCGCAATGACGAATTTAGAACGATGATGCTCCATAATTGTTTCAAATTCATCTGTAGTCCAGACAAACCTTGGTGGACAGTAGATTGCTTCCATGTTGATAAGGCCGAAAGCCGTTTGGGCAGCTGCCAACGCAAGTTGCACTTTGGAAGTGGCTATTGGTGCTAACGGGAAGTGGACCAAACTAGACCGAATAAGGATAGCTGCACCTCCTTTGGCGTTGCCGGTACTCGGGGCGTTAGCAGTATAGGCCTCAAACCAAATATTTTTGGTGCTTGTGACTCCTTGCAATGTGTCTCGCTGAGCAGCAAGACATATATCTCGTGTCGCCACACGGAACACTCTTCGTGCAGCTTCGTGGCAATACCGTCGGCGTTCCACACAAGAATGCGCAGCGGCATCATTATGGTGTCCTCTGTTTTGAAGATCTGTGAGCAAATTCAATATTTTCCCCTGCTGCTGTGTCTGCTGTTGCTGCTGTTTAAACATCATCATCATTAGCTCCATCTGCTTTTCTTGGAGTGAGCGGAGAGAGCTAATGCTTTTATTAAGCGCTTGCAACATGGCATCAATGTTACCGCTGGCCATCGAATGATGAGGATCCCTCGTTATCCTTTGGTGGCTGCGGTTCCTGTCCTTAGCCGGCTGCTGTTGCTCTTGATGTTGGGCCTGCTACTGTTGCTGCCTAGCTACATCCGCATATGTGACGCCACTTCGAGGAGTGGCCACCGGTCTGCCTCTAAGAATAGCTAGTGGAAAAGGTCGCTCGTTGCTCACGATTCTGCTGCCTAGTCCAGTTCTGGGTCTGGAGCGCTTGATATTTCGTGCAGCCCGAATAGTTTGCAGGGTGCAAAGCTCGTTGCGTGGTCGAGTGCAGTCTCTGGATGGATGTTCTCCGGCACATTTTACGCATATATGCGTCTTACGACAGTACTTCGCCGTGTGGCCAAACTGCTGGCATCTGTGACATTGTACTACGGCAGTCCGTTTACGGAGTGGTTCAATTACGACTCTCGTATGGCAGAGCGTCTTAACTGCCAGGATCGCCTTGTTATTAGCAGCAGCTGCGATGTTCAAGAAGAACATGTTCACTGGGCTCTTCCTAGGAGTCCCTGGCTCACTGCGCCGTTGTGGCGTATGGGCATCAAAAACATTGTGGCCAATTTTGCCTAGTTCCTCCTTAATCTGGCTAATTAAGGTGCTGTGGTGCAAGCCTTTAATGCAGACTCTATACGGCCCGTCTTCTTTTAACTGGTAGCAGTGGAATTCTTACTGCTCAATCTCAAGCCAGTTCACAATGCTGCGGAAGGTAGCACCATCAGCCGTGTAGAGCCTCATGACGCCACCCAAGGAAGCCCTGGCTTCGACCTTGTTCAAATCCGTCACTTTTTCAATGCCTTGCATTAAAAGCTTCACGTTGTTGATACCCTCCATCACGATTGGTGGGGTTTCGACTGAGCTTTATGGCAGTAGCCCACTTCGATGCAGCAATAGCAGCTTGATTGCTGGTGCTGGGCTGCTCGTCCAGCAAATCTTCTGCACCCATTACAGCTGCCAGCAATCCGAATCTGTTAGAACTGACATTATAGTCAGATTGTAGCAAGGTAAAGTTTTCGCTATTCTTGTCAATGTTGGATTTTTTCCTAGCAAAGATTAGGAGAAGTCGTAGCAATTATCTTGCGCTTAATTTTAGGTGTTTTGCGCTTAATTTTTACCTTTTGAAAGCGCATTGCTACACTTGCGCTTGAAGTCGGGTTGGGTTTAGTGGTCTGCACTGTAAGCTCAACAGTGATGTCCATTTCGCTGTTTGAAGGCTCACTGACAGCTTTCAAAAGTGCATCGCGCAGAATTTGGTCAAGAACCATTCTGGCGTAGCTTTTGTACGTTGAGCTTAAAGCTCAAAGCTTTATACGAGCTTTTAAGATCAGTTGCTTAGCGATGCAAAAACAGCTGTTTTGCTTGCACATGCAAGCCGGGCAGCGAAGCCCTACTTAGCAAATAGTCAGCAATAAATATTTTCACTGTACTTTAACTTCACTGGACCGAGCAGTGACTTGAGAAGCCACTATTATCAATGTGGCCACTATTGTGGGCTAGTCTTTGATAAGTTTGTAAATTTAATTGGCTTAAGACCATAAAAAAGGAGCATTCCAAAATATATGTATGTATATATATATATATATGTATAAAGCTTACAACTATTGGCATTACATTTGAAAGATTGTTTTTGCTTTTTTTTTTTCATATAAATGTAAATAAACACACTTATGAAATAGGCCAATCAATTTTAAATCCATTAAAGTAGGGATGATCCAAAATGTCCTTCGCTGAAATCCGATGCACTGGATCATAAACCAACATTCTCTGAATTAGGTCTATACCGTCTGAGTCGAGATTTTTAAGCTGACTAGTTAACTGATTTGTAGACCAACATGGGAATGTATTTTTGTAATCAGGAAGCGATGTTACACCTGGCCATATATCTTCTGTAGGCGTTTTCAGAATTCTGTAAGAAAAAAGTTGTAAAATTTAGTTTTATAACATATTTATATAAATGAATATAATAAAAAATACGCATTTTATAGTGTGTTTATTCAAGAAAATACACTATAGGTGTCTAAGTTTCTTTCAGTTCGTGTTAAGCTTAAGATTGGTTAAAAGATTCTGATCACTCGTTAAATAAAAACATGTTTATGTCCATTAATTGCTGCCAAAACGAAAAGCGTCATATAAATTAAATTTTCACATCAAATATTTATAGGAAATATATCAAAGGAAAGACCACCAATGAGTTAATTGAAATGTTATATATTAAGCTTTAAAAAGTTTATATTATAATTCGGGCGGAAAAAGATAAAGGACTGGAATTAAAGAGCTCTAAAAGCAGATCAGTTCACAAAGAAGGAGCAGAGAGTTGGCTATGGAAATTAAAATAAGCCTTCAGAAGACAGTGGAAAATTTTAAATTTTAAAAGAAGCATTGCTGACCCCATAAGTTATATATATTCTTGATAAGTGCGACAAGATGAGTCGATATAGCCTTATCTGTCTGTCTTCTAATATCTACACGTAGATATTTCAAATTTTACATGCATACTTGTTTATACCATATGCGGTACAAGTTTATCATATATGGTATACATATAAATCGTCTGATTTATTTTTTATCGAAAAAGAAAAATTAATAAATAAAATCAACCAATGACAGATATCGAAAAGGATCGTTACAAATTATAAAATCTTCTTGAAGACAATACAAGTGTTGAAAAAATAGATGCAGATTTATTATTTAAATGTTGATTATATTATTTAAATGTGAGTACATTTAGTACGGTCTTAATATTTCGATTTCGATATATGTAGATGTATGTATTTAAAAATACAAATGATCTAAAAAACTTATTTGTTGATACAGTGTAATATATATTTAGTAAATATTTACACTGAAGATACACAAATAATAAATTCCATACAAGAGTCCTGGCGCTAATATACTTATTAGATTTAGGCAATGTCTTTCACTGTCACTCTGAACTGATCAGCCATGCTTTTCAAAAAAAAAATCGATTATTTTTATATACATACATATATAATTTGTTTGATTTTTCAAGTGTGCAAATACTTTTTTGGAGCACTGTATGGGTGCTAGTACACGAACACTGCTGTGGATAATTTATTAACGTTTATTAAAATAAATATGAATCTACACTTAAAATTTAGCGACTCTAGCTCTGAAGATGCAGAAGATATCATTTTCTAACTTACTTTCGATGAAGTTTTTAATGAATAAGAAACGGTCATCGATTTTTCGATAAAAACTCAATATGAGCGTGATATACAGACCTAGGAAGCAAAATTTCAATTTCTCTAGCTATTTTATCTTCTGACGGACGGACGGACTCACAGAGGGACAGGGCTAAATCGTCTCCTTTCGTTGCACTGACCAGGAATGTATGCATGTACATACATACATTCATATATTTATGGGGTCTGTCACGCCTCCTTCTGATGATATACACATTTTAACAAAACCAATATACCCCAATTTCTCATTTGCAATGGGTCTTTCCTAATAAGGTATGATGACTGGCAGTACTTTTTGTTTTGCAAACAATTATTGGACAGATTATAATTATTATCATGGTTGACAATTACAATCATCATCTCATATAATTTGAAGTCTCATGTCAAAAATTTACCTGAACATTCGAAATAACTGGTCAATTTCCGAATCACCTTGAAATAGTGGCTTCCTAGTAGCCATTTCTGCAAATATACATCCAATGGACCAAATGTCAACGGGACAAGAGTATCGTGGAGAGCCCAACAATACCTCTGGAGCTCTATACCAAAGCGTAACAATTTCATGGGTGTAAATGCGTACAGGTATACCGAAAGATCTACCGAGTCCGAAATCAGCTACTTTGATGATACCATTTCTGTCAATTAAGAGATTTTGCGGCTTTAAATCACGATGTAGAACCCGACGACGATGGCAAAACAATATAGCATCCGTTATTTGATATAAATAGCTTTTCACCAGTTGACTACTAAGATGCTTCTCCGGAGGAAGTGAATCCATATACTTTTTAAGGTCCATTGATAGAAATTCAAAAATCAAGTATATACGATTTTCTTCCATAAGTACGTCTTCCAAGCAGACAATATTACGGTGTTTAAGTTCCTTAAGTAATGAGATTTCTCTGTAAGCAAATTTAAACTCAGATTATATTTATAGAATACATTTTAGTTTACAGACCTTATCGCTGTAGATGGTACTCCTTCATCGTCAGACTCCAATCTAATCTTTTTCATGGCAACAATTTGACCAGTTAATCGGTTTCGGCCTTTATACACAACTCCATAGGTACCCTCACCTATTTTTTCAATTTTTTCGAAATCTTCCATTTTAATCCCGGTTAGTTTCAGAAAAATGCCGCGAATCGATTGAGGTTGCCACCCTGGGGAAAGCTGAATTTACTTTTACTTGGAAGAATACCTTTTGAAACTTATCGAAAAAATGAACGTCAACACTGAAACATTCAGAAAAAAACATAATTATCGCATGATGGAATTTCTGAATGGAGAGTATACCCAACTATGGAAAGAGCTTGCCACTCCAATAAATACCATCATAGATATATAAATGAAAACATTTTGTATTGGCGTGGCAAACAATTTCAAGAGTTTGGTATACTCTTCCCTCAAAAGTTAAGATGGAATCGTTGCAAAAGTTTTTAATAGGTTCAGAACGGAAATTTTGGGCTTTACAATATGCTTAGGCAGCAAGAATTATGCATACAGGTACCTAAATGCTCATACATATAGTAAGGGGCTGCAAGTGTGTGTGTGCAGGCTTACAGTTTGTTTGCATAAACGTGGCAAACGCATTTAAGATTTCGGTATACCTTTCACTCAAAAGGAAAGTGGAAAACATTTTTTCTATATTTCTAGTCAATGTGTTCTCTTGTTAGTAGTAGTACTAAGACTGACCAAAGAACACATAGAAGAGACACGTAGAACAAACTTTTTTGACTCCGAAAAAAACTGCATAAGACACTGGACAAATAGCGCACTGCCGTCGTTTATATAAAATCTGGACCATTTTTGTAGAGCGCTTGCAGCGCACTGACTTTGTTGTATTTTAACTGCTCGAGCCCCAAGAGACTGAGCAGAGCAAATAAGAATTGACCAGTCTCTTATGCATGTATGTTATGTATGTTCTCGGCGTTGGAAAACTATGTTCTACATGTCTCGTCTATGTGTTCTTTGGTCAGTTTTGCCACTAACCATAGAACACATAGACCGAACACGTAGTGTAACGCGTTTTGCACCCTTTTTTCGCTCACACAATTCTAAGTTGAGGTAGGCACATGTCGATGTTGACGCCCCATGCATACACATATGCACATATACAAACGCACATGTAAAGGCACATGGGCATTCAAATGCTTCTACAAGTGGTATCCCATAATTGTGAGCATCGCGTCCCCCGTGTACATAGAATCAAACATATTTATGAAATGCAAATGAAATGCTGGGCATGAAAATTTCTACAGATAGCAACTGTAGTGTGTGTGTGCACGCTCATTTCAAACATTCTTATTATGAGCACCAACGCTTTCATTCCCCTTCTGGCAAATAATAACAAAACGCAGATATTTAGTACGAGCTTGGCAAACGGTCTGAAGTGTTTGGTATGCTCTTCACACAGATGGGAAGAAGAGAGAGCGAGGGAAACATTGAACATAGAGGCATTTTTTGTTCAATAGCACTAACCATAGAACACATAGACTTGACATGTAGAACAAACTTTTTCAACACAGAAAAAATGCGCTGATGAGACCGGAAAACTTCGTATTTGCTCGGCTCGCTCTTTTGAAGCTCCATTAATGAAAATAAGCCACGACAAAATCATTGCGCTGTGACCGGTGGCACGCAATGCACTCGTTCCCAAATTAAGTACGGGTTTTTTCCTTTTTCCGTTACTCTATCTCTCCCTCTCTTTATGCTCTCTAGAATAGCAGCAGCGCACAAAAATTGAAAATTGTTCTCGACGATCCCAGCTCTTTGCTTTTGAGTGAAGGGTATACCGAAATTTGTAAAGCGTTTCCCACGTTCATACAAAATGTTAGCGTATTCATGAATATTTCTAAGAACGGTATGAAAGCGTTGGCACTCGTAATGAAAATGTTTGCGCGATGAGCATGCACACACACACTTTCCCTTGCTACATGTACTATGTGCGAAGCTCATGCTGCATGTAGCAGCAACTGGCCTGAGCGTGCAAACATACATATGTACATATAAATTCACATTTATAAATTTACATTTACACTATTTTTATTGAAATATCATGGTTTTGTATTTGTTTTTAATAGATTTATTGAATTTCATGTTTTCTATTTTTATACACTGAACCCATTGAAAATGGGATATCAGGGTATAATGGTTTTGTTAAAATGTATGTAACAGGCAGAAGGAGGCGTGGCAGACCCCACAAAGTATATATTCTTGATCAGGGCGACGAGCTGAGTCGATTTGGCCCTGTCCGTCTGTCCGTATGTATGAACGCGTCGAACTCAGAAGATATTAAAGCTAGAGACTTGAAATTTGTTTTCCTATGTTCGTGTATATCACGCGCATATCGAGTTTATCACTAAAAATCGATATTCCATCCCGTTATTTTGTTATCGATAAAAACCCTTATCGAAAATCGGTTAAAAATTATATCTCCCACTTCTTTAAAGCCAAAGTCTCCAAATTTTAAATATATATTAAGACGCATTTTATATAGTTTCGACTTTTGTTAAAATTAACTCCCCACCACTATAACCAACCCCTCTTCCTCATTATAAAATTCGTATATAAAATACTAGAGATTTGTGCTTCGATATATATACGATATACATTTAAACATTATGATTACGTTCTGAAAGTTTCATTAAGATCGTACGTCTAGAAATTAAATTATAAAACAAATAATTTCTCATAATATTGCCAGCACTGCAGCGCAGCCCTAGCGCAATCGCCTGTATGTGTGCGTGTTTGAGTGTGTGTGTGAATTATTATTGAAATATCAGTTGTTTGTAGGGTTCAGGGGATCTCGTAGTCGAGCAGT